CGCCGCCGGCAGGCCAAGCAGGCCCGGCCCCTGCCGAACGGAGTTGCCGGCGCAGCGAAGCGAAGCTGGCAACTTCGTTTGGCGGAAGGGCGGGCCTGCTTGTTTATTTTGCTTTGAATCAGCGCGCTCATGCCCGCCCCGACAATGAAGAGCCAGAGCGAGTCCGGCCATCTGCCAGGACCGGAGCCAGGAACGGAACACAAAGCAGCGCCAGAGCGGCGACGGGGGCCCTGCCAGCCCACATATATCGCCACGGCTGCTTCCAGGTGGCGCGTTACGCAAGGAGCATCACCAGGTAGGTACGTACATCACGGGGGCCTTAGCCATAGGCCTTAGCGGACAGGTGTAAGGAGAGGAGCGGCGGCAGTCTTGCGGCCTTGCCTTGAAGCGCCTCGCCGCACAAGAAATGGCGCGTGCGCCACCATACAGGTAATCTCGCTCCGTCTCTCTCGCTCTCTCCCTCTCCCCCCTCCCCCCTCCCCCCCTCTCTCTCTCCCTCTAGCACACACCGCACTCACATTCACGTATGCTCATCCGGTGCCACATCCAGTCAATCCCGTGTGGGCTATTGAAAAAATATGGGTCCTGAAAAAGAAAAACCCGCAATGTTTTGCATAGTTTCAAAAAAAATTACACGTAATGATACGCATCTATCTGAATTGCCTTCTATGCTCCGTGCTCTTGATCTTCTCATTTTGTTTTGAAATTAACCGGGACATATCAGAAATAATCTTTTCACTGTAACGAGGTACTTTTATTGACATCACTTTTAAAGACAAGTTTTATTCCTCAGTTTGAGAAAAACGAATGAATGGTGCCTGAACTGGGGAAGCGGCCCGCACGATCAGGAGAGAGAGAGAGAGAGAGAGAGGGGGGGGGAGTGGTAGTCTGGAGCTCGTCTGGGCGGACGGACAATTTTACGAGCCGATCAACATCAGTGCTGGCTGGTGATTGGATTGACTGACAGTGAGGAACAAGGGGCAGGAGGAGGCACGGGCGGGCTGCTGCTGCCTCGGCTGCTGCCGGCAACGATAGGGGCCGGCCTCTCCACGCAACGCCCAGCCCCGCGCCCGCATCGCTCCGCGGGCTGGGGGTCAAGGTTAGGCTGGAGGGAGATTCGGACCGCAACGAAAAGGGGGG